AATTACTCATAATGTATTCTGCGGACTTCATGTCCTTTAATTGAATTTATTTCCGGCACCTTTGGCTAGCCGGCATTCATCCAATTAAATGACCAGTCGTACCGATGCTTTTCGAATCAATTAATTGACCAATTGTTACTGCGCCACCAATCAATTAATTGAGCTTAAAAATTGCAATTATAAAGCGCCTTATGGCGTCCCGAGAATATATCTGCGAGTATAAAAAAAAAATAAAAAAAATAAATAAAAAATTGCAATTAATTGCTCCTACAATCAATTATTCGATAGGCCTGGTGATAATAATCATAATTCTTTCTTTAAAATTATTAAAGCCACTTATAAAAACAAAACCTTTATGAAAACATTAGGCTTAGTTATAAATATTTGCAAGTGTTTATGTATATTTTTTTGTAGACTAGTTTCTTTTTACTAATTTCCATAGCTGATCGCCATCCCTATAAGAAAAGTGTTCGAATTCGGAATAACAATAACCACAGTTTTTATACAATATCACCAACAATATAACAACCAACATAAACAACAATATACAAGGATACTCTAATCCAATTATTCAGGAATAGGTCTCTTCGGCCGACTCTTCCTGCTTCCTATATGTTAATTGACTCATATCGGAAACCTGGACTTTATTGAAACGGTGGATTTTTAGACATAATAGACATAATGGTAAGTAGAGTGAGTCCGCTTTAATACACACATAATTCACGTAGTATGAACAGGCATTGCTACTTTCCATCTATTTTTTGCACCATCTGTACAGATACCGCTACAATTTGCACATATCCAACTTAAACTGAGAAATTGCCATCAACTAAGAAATAATCTATTTTCCAATTTGGGAACCGCAGATCTATGTGAAAGGATTGAATACTAATGAAATTGCAGTCGCCCATTAAGTGAAAATTGTTTCTGGGTCAATTTTATCATTATGCGTACAGGCTTATTTTTAAAAGTTTCTATTTTTGTAATGAAAAAATTAAAAAGTTAATTCCGGCCAGAAATTAGTAAACAATTATGTAATGCGGGCGAAAATTTTGAAGAATCTCGGTCGTTAGCCAATCAAAATCGAGGATCTGCCGTGCATTTTTTGTGCAGCACCTAGGTTCAATATGCGAAAGGCTGTTAATAAAAGCTCCAATAAGTTCTAACAAGACACAGCCCAAAATAAACAAATAATAATTATATACATATATAAAGAAGAGAATAATATGAAACGGAAACTGAATATCGATATAGTAAATAAATAAAATAAAAAATTATTACGCAATGGAATCATAGTCACAGTAAAGCCTAATGGATTCAATATAATTATTTGTTAACTGATTAAAATTTTTAATTTACTTCCGCTAACTCAAGAAACAAATCAAAAAAAAAAAAAAAATGAGCATACGACATTTTCATGCCATATAAAAAAGGTGATTCGGAATTGCAGGAATTTTTTTACAAAATTAATAACACGGACGGATATTATGACAAAGTTATGTTACGTTATTCCACGGAATAATACATGTTAAAAATTACATGTATCGGCTCGTTTCACGGAGTATCAACAAGAGTGAAGGACACTTAGTAACCGATTTTTTAAAAAAGTATGCAATATCTCAAAATTCCACCAATAAAACTGTTCTGGTTGTCTCAACGAAAAAAATTCCTTATAAAATTTTACACATAAGCAGTTTCAAATATATATATAACTATTATCAAGTACTCTTCTAATAAAATGTCCATTGAAAAGAAGATTGTGAATTTACGTTTAATCGCCCGTTCCATTCACGTGCCATAACCGTGCCAATTGACTTAGTAAACTGCTGTAAAAAGACACGTCGAGACATGTCTGTACGTACTTACGTAAGTACAGAAGTACGTACGTGATTTTTGGTGCGGATAACTGTACGGTATCGGATTTCCCATGACGTACTCTATTTTTTATATTAATATCGCACAGGAAAACCTGTAAGCAAAAATTAAAGCTATCACTGATATACAATATAAAATTATATATATTTTTACTTACAGCTTTTCTTTCATATCGTAATAGAAATACTCACTGAGTGAAATAAAATAATGTTACTTATATTAGTATTGGCCAAAAAACGTTTCAATGTTGCAATATCATGTGGAGGTGGCTTTCAAGATAGCTTAAAAAACTGAGTAAATAAACATTGCACTCGTTATGATTTATATATAGCGTTGGCATTGAACATACATCAAAAATCTTGAATTTATGTGACGACGATATAACGGATCAATTTGCACGCATTGAATTGTTTGTGTAGATACTTTCTGAAATTTTCTGCAGTTTTAACAACATTTATATATATTATTTAAGCAGTATATACATATAATTATACACTAAAAATAAGTATCTTATGTATCGAATGTACTACATAAACACAGTTTTTAATATTTATCAAGCCACATGTTAAATGGCATAAACAAAAGCTAAACTCAGAGCCACACTATATTACTTGCAGCTATCTAAATCATAAACGTACAATGGCTTTGCGAAATAATAAGCTCAGCAAGTTTTGTAAATATCTCGCAGATTTTAACACTATTTAACAACTACAGTATTTAACGAGTTCACATTCATTAGCTGCAGTTATAACCGAAAAATTCTCTTTTTGCTATTCAAAAGTATTATAATTCTTGAACTTAGTTAATTTAAACTTGTAATGTTTAAATTTTCGGTTTTTGTTTTTTCTTTTGTGGTAGCTTTAATTGTACCACTTACAACCTCCACTACATATTGCCAAGATAACAATCTCGCATGTTGTGCTGGATATGCATCTAGTGCAGACCGTAGCGTAACAATTTACCTAATTAACATGAGTGAAGAAGATATATATTTTAATAGTGCCACTCTTTATCATGGGGCATGGACTCCCGATTGTAGTGCCACCACAATTGATACAGTATGGAACGATAACGCTATAGCAATTGCTAGTGGATCAAACGAATACTTGTCTGGGACTGAGGGTTTAGCTACTTTTATTATTGGAAATTATAGAGCATATTTCACCATTAGTTGGGATAATCCCTATGTTGGTAGTAGTTCGTTTTCTATTGTTCTTTCAGATACCACAATCTACTCTAATGAAACAATTAGTTATGGTTGGACCGATATGGTTTATGCCGTTATCATCAGGGCGAAATAATTTAAATTAACTTTATTAGTCATAGAATATTTTCTTACAGAGAAATTTTTCTCAGAAATTTAATTACTTTATCTCAAGCTAGACTAATCGATTTTAATGATTTATGTTCTGCCTAACAATTTATTTATCGAAATACTTTTTAAATTTTTTTTTTTTATATCAATGCAAAAAAATTTGAATATTTATTAACTTAATATCTAGTATATGCACATAGAAAATTTGAGACAAGTTACATTAATGACAGTATTTCAAGCCATTCAGATTGCAAATATTAAAGTAAATGTATATTTTTGAATTTTTTTTTTTAAAGCGATCTCCGGGATCGTGATTTTTTGAAATATAATGTTTACAACTAATTTTTTCTATGCATGTCATGAGAGTACAATTAGCCACACGTGCAATTTTGGTTGCCTACGTAGGTTGTTTAGAAGGTTTGACACTAGATAATTATTTTAGTCGTTTTTAAACATATAAATTTCAAACATATATATATAAAACTACTAGTTGTAATAAATATTCAATAAAATTTTAGCCAACTTTAACTAGATAGTTTTTAAAAAATTAAAATTAAGTAATTTTCTTATTAAATTTTTATTTTGTACAAAATATATGGAGGAGTCAATAGAAAAGAGACAAATCATTTTTAATGAAATCTTTTTAATTTTTAACTTAAAATATCTTAACAACTATTTAATCAAATTTGCTTAAAATTATATAGAATTAAAATAAAATAAAAAAAAATTATTAAATTTGATAAGATAATTGACAAGATACTTAAGCTTAAAGTCAAGAAAACTTTTGCCTAGAAAAAATTTGTCCCTTTTCTATTGACTCTCCCCATATATATTAAAAATTAGAAAAAAACTAATGATCACCTGTGGTGATTTAATTTTTGCAGTTTTGGACCAATAAGAGGGTAATATATAATAGTCTAAGCTTTAGATTACATGAGGTTGAACATTTTTACTTGGGCCTCCAACCCTTATTAATTAATACGTTTTTTGAAATATAGTACTACAGGTGATAATCAACAGTGTTGGCACTTGGACTGTGTCCAATAAAAATTTTATTTGGACTTGGACAAATACGGACATGGACTAGTCCAAATAGTGTCCATGTCCATTGGGATATTTGGACTTTTACCATAACTTTGGCTTATTGTACGGGTCTTATGTGATAACCCATGCTTTTTTCATTTGGTTATTGCACGGGATTGTTACGTCAGACACCGTGCAATAAGATAGTTATTATATGGGTATATGAATAACCCAGTTACACACACGGGTTCATATTTAAATCCCGTGCCTTCGGCACGGAATATGAACCCGTGTGTAACTGGGTTATTCACACATACCCATACAATAACTATAATATATCGAATAATATGGATAAACGGGTGACGGATTTATACGGATTGGAACTCTACACTAGTTATATGTGATAACAATATCGCATATATTTGAGGGCGTTACAATATTTGGGATGCACGTAGGAGTTATTTTATGTCAAATGTGTTTTTTCAAAATAGTAATAACGTTATTACACGCAAAATACGGTAATAATAAATCTACAAAATATAATCTTACAAAATCTTATTCATATATTCTTTCAAGTTTAAAAATCATATGCAATGTAGATTTGAAGGTAGTGCACTTGAAATATACGGATTGACTCAGAATACAGAGGATGGTCAATACATGATGGTATATCAATATGCCAATAGAGGAAATCTTCATGACTTTTTAGCTAAAAATTTTAGAGAAATTGTATGGCAAAATAAATTAAAGCAACTTGCGGATATATCTTATGATTTATCTCAAATTCATAAAGCAGGACTTATTCATAATGACTTTCACAGTGGTAGTATTTTACTAAATCAAAATATTGATGGAAATATAAAATCATATATTACGGACCTGGGATTATCTAGAAAACAAGATGAGGATGATTCAAAAGAAGCTGTTTATGGTGTAATGCCATACGTTGCTCTCGAAATTCTTATGGATACAGGTAGAAACACACACACAGAAGGCAGATATTTATGGTTTGGGTGTTATTATGTCAGAAGTATCAACTGGAAAATGGCCTTATCATGAACATAAATTTAATACTAAACTTGCATTAAAAATTTGCAAGGGATTAATACACCCAGATTTTGCCGAAGGAACCCCTGATTGCTATATTGAATTAGCCAAACAATGCATGGATTTAGATCCACAAAATCGGCCTACTGCTGAATGCGTTTATTTAAAACTTAATCAGTGGAGTGAATTTTTGGAATCAGAAGATTTGACAGATAATGAGAAACTTGATATAAAAAAGAAATTAATTGATGCTGATAATTTAATCAAAGAAATATCACTAAAATCTTTATCATTGTATCAAGATAAATATATTAGCAAACGAATTAATATACAAGAAATAAAAGAAATGACAAAGACCTTAGAGGTACAACAGGAGTGAAATTACTTTACATTGCTTATAAGAATTAAGTATAATATTAATTTATTGTTTATTAGTATCTACTCGATCTAGTCAATCTAGTCAGTCTTATTCGGGTACAACTCTCGGTAATATTAGCGATCAATTATCTTAGTATAATTTGAAATATTTGTAAAAAAAAAATCTTTTTACTTATACTATTTTTTTAAATTTAGTATTAACCCCGACAACCCCAGATTTTATACTAAAATCTGATATTTTAAATTAAGCTCAATGGCAACACCAAAGTCAGAAAATTTTAAATTTCCTTCAGGTGAAGAAAAATCACCTAGTGAGCGATCAATAAAAAACTAATGCTCTGAATATTTTTGCATTAGTTCTCAATTTATCATTATAATCTATTAAATAAAATTTTTTTGAAAATATAATACTGTGTAAAATGACTTAAATATGTATACAATATGTTTGTAAAATGGGAATGAAATTTTATTTGAATTTATATAATTTCGGTTAGTTTCCATAAGGTAACAATTAAAAATTTTTATACATATACGTACGTAAAAATTGATGTAACAATATCGATTTATTTTAGATCTCCACTAACACCCAAAATGCGAGGTTCATCTCTAGTCACGATATATTGCACTGCGCCATAATACCCGTCTATACTTTATATATTTAGAATTTAAAAATTTTTCGGAATAGCCCAAGAATTATAAAATTGTTAATTTCCAAATACTGAAATAAGTCAACTGCTTTAGTGTATTGTATAATTATAAGCTACAAACTGGTACACGAACTTGTTGATATTTAACTCTGTTTAACAAGAATAAAAACATTAGCATTGATATAATTTCTAATTTTCATATAATGTGAATCATAATTAAATGTTACAAATTGACACCAATTTTTAAAGGCTGAATCATAATGATTTCATTTGATTAACAAATTCAAATTACTGTAGTTAATAAAAAAATGAATATACCCATTGACTATCTGGCAAGGTTATTAGTTAAATTGTGCAACCCTCCCACCAGCACCAACATTGCTCCGTTCTTGTCTCTCTACATCTTCAACCGACCATACACCCAATTGATCACGTTCAAACGGTTGAGCCATCGTTCTCAAAAATTTTTTTGCTGTTACCAAAGCCATATCCGTCGATAAATTTGTACAAGCATCCGTGATAAATTGGTTTAACCACCTGGGTAATTTATTACGTTTATCTGCCCTTGCGAATCTCTTATTAAAGAAATTATTGTTAAAACTCTTGCTCTAATTAAAACAGAAGAAAATATAAGATTATGAAATTACCTTATCAGAAAATATCATTAGTCCATAATCAGTTTTTCCTCTTAAAACTCTCCCAACGCATTGAGCTGCATGACGCATTGCGTCGAATGTTAAAAAATCGCTTTCGCGTATTCTGTAATTTTCTCTCAAAAACTCAAGGCGCGCCTAAATTTTAATCGTTGATTAAAACGACAGACAGCGTCAAAACTAACAAAAACTTGTTACTTACTTTCAAAATCCGACTCTCTGTATATTGATATGGTACACCAAACATAATCACGGCACGCCCATAATTATGATCAAAATCAATACCTTCTGAAACTTTCCCACGAGCAACTGATAGTAAGATGGCGCCACGTCCATTGTCACATGCCTAATATTGAAAAAAGACTAGATAGTTAATACTTATGTGATATTAATAATAACGGATATTATCTGTATCCTTTTGCGAACCTTTCTGTAGTTCTCCAAAGCTAAACTTGTTTCTGCAGCATCTGGCGTTTCGACAAATATTAGCTTGTGCTTCCATGCTTCATTTAATATGCCCTGAACACCAAAAAGATATTATCTAGATGCATAAAATCTTTCAATTACAATATATTATAAAAAATTACCATATCATTCCACATAGCTACTATTGACTCCATGTATAAATAGCTTGGGAAGAATGCAACGATTCCATCTGGCACAATCTTAGAAAATTCAACGAGAATTTGCCCAAAATTTCGTACTACTGCCGGATCATTACGAACTTCAAATTTAGAACTAATAGCTACTTGATCGCTACCCCTAGTTATTACCTACAGTAGTCAAAAATGGCATAGAAAATATTCATAAGCATTTTAATTGCAAACACGTATATATAACGTACATGTCACAAACCAATGGCAGGAAACAATTCCTTGTTAAAGTCATTGAATAGCTTTCTTGCACAGCTGCCTGAAAATTTAGCATTTTTGGATACATGTCAAGTGGCGATAATGTTCCAGATGTTATAACAACGGTTTTGAACCTCTTAAATATTGGCTTGATAGCTATTGAAGCATCGAGGCACCTATTGATAATTATTATTAAACAGTTAATAAAAAGAAGACGTATGCCATTTCAAAAGGATACTAACGCATAATGTAAAATTGGATTTGGAATGGTATCATTCTCAAAAGGTTCTAAAATCAGCATGAAACCTAAAGAATGCAAAATATAATGTGTTCAATTTGAATAATTGATATAAAAATAACCAAAATAAATTTATACCTGATTCATAAGTCGCCACAAGAGTCGCAAAAGAGATCGGAAGAGCGTCGTGTAGGGAAAGAGTGTAGATCTCGGTGG